CCCCCGCCACACACACACACAAAGATGCCAAAAGCAACTATAAAGTGATGTTTGTTAAATTCAGTGATTCATAACTCTCACTTACTTAGTCTCTGTACTAAAAGTAAGGCCTTATTGTTATAATGCGTTGTGGATGACTGCTCATAGAGCACAGATTTTTGTATTATAACTTTTTTAAAGACCCTTTTAAATAATTACAAAGAATGTTTGCTTTCAGAGTCTACGGGCTACACTTTTATGGGTATGACTCTAACCATTTTTATAAAGAGTAAGAGTTGTATAAAATAAGAAATAAACACAATATTCAATTTCCTTTCATACTGGCATTATCAAATCTCTGATATCACATTTTTACCCCTTCAAATACAGTTATGGAGGAGACACTATTTTTTGTTTTAAAAAGCTGTTTCATCTTTTTTTGTTCCTTTATATTTTTCTCTTATAAAGTTTATCTGATATTATGATGTGTTCATGAAAAATATTCCTTTATTATATTTTGTTACAATAGTACTATTCATTGTGAATGTTTCTACTGCCAACAATCTAAATTAATGTTGGCATAAGATTAGGTATTTAGTTTACACTTATTGATTCAGCTCTACTCTTTGGACCAAAGCAACATGAGAGCAAATACTTTCACATCTGTTAGAATGGAGTGCAACTATCATACGTTTGAAATATTATGATCCCAAGCAGTCTTTATATAATTTGAATTACATTGTACGTTAGGTTTCTTGTAAAATTTAGCCAGTTTTTACAGAAAAAATTATTTTCTGATCATTTGGTCCTATCTATGTAAAACTAGATTTTTTTTTAAACAAAGGTAATATGTGATCAAAGTTGATTTTCTTCCTAAGGCCTAAATAAAGAGAAAGCAGTTTTACATTTAAAAGAGAAAAAAGAAGACAAAAAATATTTCATGACTTTCATATCTTTCAAGAGCCTAGGTCACTTGTTTCACAGACTGTCCTTCAATATGGACTTGTTAGATACTTTTTGCAATAAGGATCACGTTAAACAATTTTGTCAAAAGTACTGTATAGATGATGGTGTGTCCTTCTCAGTGTACCACATCAGGAGGCATATGATAAGTTTGGTCATTTAATTAAAATGATATCCACTTGATTTCAATAGTATAAAGATACCTTTTCCTCTTTTTTAAAAAATTAGTTTCAGGTATATAAAACAATGTAATAGTTAGACGTTTCACTCCTCACAAAGTGATAACTCCACTCCCCCCATCCATTGCCCCTCTGACATCGTATATATATATTACAATCCACTGCACTGTACACCTGAAGCTGAAGCTGAATAATATTGTATATCAACTATAATTTAATATAGATAGTCACAGGACATGGAGTATAGTATAGGGAATAGAGTCAGTGGAATTGTATAGATATATACCTTTACCTTTTCCTTTTTGTAAGTAGTGATCTATGGGACCATACTTGGATACTGTGGAAATATCCTGTTCCAACAATCTTTCACCCAGTGGTTTTAGCATCCATTGATGATTCTTGCCTGAATCATTTATTAATATGGTGGTTGCAAATGGGGATTTTCTCATTCTATTATTTCTTCTATATTTGTGAGTTGGTATTCTTCTGTAAAGAGCTTGTCCCCCTCACCCTCCCCGCCTTAAAAACATTAGTATCATTGTATTTCATATATTATAACCTGTGCCTACTATTATCTATATTAATGCTCAAATTCTCTCACATTTGGCCAGTGGGAGCCCCCTATATGTTTAACTTTTAAATTTTTTCCACTCTTTAAGCTATATGTTATCATTAGCATAAACTTGGAAAAGATGAAAAAGAAGTTTTAAAGGCTGGCTGAAGATCTCCACTTAAAATTGAGCATTTCTGTTTTTGTTATATTTTGTATACATATATGTATAGATATATATCTTAGGATACATAAATATAATTTTTCCCATTGAGTTGAAATTGTCTGTTTACTTATCAGCTTTCCCAACTACATAAATTCCCCAAAGATGGACTATGGCCCCTTTACCACTCTACCCAGCTAGTATTTGGTACAGAACAAATGCTCTGTAAATTAATACATGAGCAATCAGTCACATTATCTAAACATTTTCTATCTTGATTTTTTTCTATTATTGCATGAACAGACTTTGACCTGAGGGAAGTGAAA